AACACTGCAGACGCAGCTCGGCGTTCATGCCGGCATTGCGCGTCAGCGCGTCACTGCAACAAGTAGTTACAGCCTCGTTAGTCCTAGTTACATAGAACGCTCGCACTCGGGGATTACAACGCGAGCGCCAGTGATTATCGCCGATAAATACAGCGAGGAAGAGGAAATGTCGCCGGATAAGGACGCGTCTCGTTGTGCCGCGTCGCGACGCGCCGCGTTGTGTCGCGCCCCGTCACGTCGCGCCGACACGCGAGATGAAGCGCAATGCGGTACGACCTCAACGGCGAAATGAGACGTGCGAATTGTCACCCAAGCGAGACGCTGATAATTGTTACAACGATAACTGATTAAACACCAACGGATGACGAAAGTGGGAGAAAAGTGACACGACAGAAATATAAATGACATGTTCTGAAATTAAAGTAGGAGGGAAATTTATAAATATAAAAGTTTACGATATAGTTATACGGAATATTCGTTTAGAAATGGACCGTATTCTTTCTACTTTTAAATTATTATGACCATCAAGAAAACGTGTGTATTGTTTAATAAATTATTTATATTACTTTTTATATTACTTCTTATTCAATCACTCGTATGATTTTTGTTGACTTTTATCATTTTTATGAGGATCTAATTATTTTAACATTGGATATGAATTTGGTTGGGTTAAGATTTTTTTGAATATTTATTATTAAATTACTTCTTTATACTTTAACTAAAATATGATTCAAGTGCGAAACATTCTTGTTCTTAATATATTACTTATTTATACTACATTTAATTATTTATAATATCTATACCTGATCATTTTCCTGATCAATTTATATTATTACATTAATACTATAAATATAGAATTGATAAAAAACAAAAAGCTTTATACCGTTTTCCTTAAAAAATAATTTTACAAATTGTATCTTTGCTTCGAAATATCATATCATTTACTAATTGAAAGCAGAAAACTCAGGCAATTTACAGTTATCTCTAAATAGAATAATTACGAATGATATACAAGATTAATACAAACGGAATTTAGTCCGAAATCGAAGCGCGCGAGTTCAATATCGAAATGTATTAACATTAATATATGACGAATTTGAAAATTCATGATACTTTGAAATAGAAAATTCATGATACTTTTCGGAAATAGAAGTTTCATACTTTAACATTTATTCTGCTTGTACTCATTTACATCTGTATTTCTTGTAATAATAATTGCAATGAAGAGACGATATTACATAAGAGAAGATTACATGGAGAAAGTCATCGGTCGTATGTAATATTTGTACTGGTTAACGGTACTCGTCGCTTCCGGTAATTAATTGGAAGTCGTGCACCTCCAACTAGTAAATCGTTCGTAAAGTAAATTTATTTAACGGTAATATATTCAACACATAATAATCGCGTTATTAACTGAATTAACAACTTGCCGTTCCCCAAACTGGATCTTGTTTATAATTTCATTGATGATAAATGAGATCTCATGAATAAATTACAATACGTTAATGATTCATTTAACAACAACAATCGTTATTAACGATAGCAGGTCATATATCGTTTGACTATTATAAAAGCCCTGAATATTTTCATAAATTTCAAATACGTAACATAAATTAGTAATAATGATAACAACGATAATGATTTGCAATGGAAACAATAATAATAATATTACCGAAAATAATCAATTGAAAAAGAGCTCTTAAAAACAATAATGATAATAATAACAATAAAATATCCTTGTATAATATTTCAATATGGAACTCGAAGCAGAAAGATATTAATACGAATTATTGGTTAATAAATAGCCCCTATTACATCAATATATCGTATCCCAATCATAATGTACACCAACTATATCGTATTCATGAAAAAGAATAAAAAAGAACAGATTATCGTTTATGAAAGTCCATTTGGATGCCACTATTACAATGATTCGCGTACTGAAATACGTATTGAACCACATTAACCGACAATTATACGATAGTTCGACGTACCCCGTCCACAGGACAAACTCGATATCGCCATGCTTCGATCTCATCGCCCGTGCCGCCGATTCGATCAGAGCCCAGGGCGAGTCGCAGCTGTAGTCGCCAAACTTGCCCGCCAGTTTTCTGTCGAGCCTCATACGTCCGCCATCGACGATGTTTCTCATGTTCCAGCACTCTGAAACACGATGGTAAATGGAGTCCGCGCATGAGAGACTATCGAGAAGCGACAAATGGGTTGCAAGAGAAAAAGCAGTGTTGATCGTGGGAAACTAGTGAAATAAAAAATGCACAACGCGTGACAGAGAACGGCCAGGATCACGCTTATTCGTATCTCACTACTTATTTGTATCTCGCTTAACGTCCGTACGACACGAGGCCTAAGATGGTGAGTCGAACAAACGAGAGGGTGGGGTAATTCAAGCCGCTGCTATTTCGTGCAGGTCTCGTGCCAGCCGGGCACGCTAAGTTTCTAGAATGATCGGTAAATACCCGCGCGCGTGTAGACCAGTAAATAACAGTCTAGCGTTCTATTAGAGGAATGATAATAATTCGCTCATGCGATGCGATTGTCGGAAAATGAAATGTATAACGGTTCGAAGGCGTGTATTCGTTAAAGCTCGGCTGCGAGCCAGCTCGTCGCATGCTGAAAAAATAATTGGGAAAAAACTCATGCAAATTTCTTCTTTCCAAAAAAAAAACAAAAAAAAAAAACTTGCTATCCAGTGGAAAAGTTTCAGAAATTATGAAGTTTTGTGGAAATTTTCACAAAATACTAATAAGTTTGAGGGAAATTTGTATGAAACGCTTGGGAAAGTTTATACCTCGAAACATCTGGCAAACACCGATACTAGGTGAGAACACCAAGGTTTGGATTTCGCAACGGGAGGTCGATCACGTATATTTTCTCTAAGAGCAAAAATAGTAAAAAGTGAAAAATTTTCACGCGAATTCCGCGAAATCGTGGTCACGTATCCTAACCGAGGCGAAACGATGAAATTTGATAGGATGAGATTCACGTGAGTGATCGTATGAGATATGAAAAACCGGATGAGATAAAAAGAAAAAGCTCTCTAACAATTACGTGATCAACTCCCCGGTATGGCGCGGCGCGGCGCGGCAACTCCGGCCGTATCGGGGCGAGAATTAGCAAGTACATGCAAATTATTTTTCTTGAAAACCATGTAACGCAATCAAAAAAAAAAAAAAAAAAAAAAAAAAAAAAAATTCTAAAAACATTCTGATCCATACCCCAATAAAAGTTATTCTCAGTTGACTTCTTCGCTTTACAAAATTGTAAAAATTACAAACAATGCGCATTAACTTACTGGTATTAGGTGCATTTCCTTGCACAGCATATTTTGGATCGTAATGAATATCGGTGATATGCCAGAAATATCCTGCAAAATAGAAAATTTTATTCTAACCAGAATTAATGGAGAATATGAGATGCGCGAGAACGTAAAAAGCGCCACAAACAGTTACAAAAATTTCAATATCAAATCGATATGTATTTTGGCGCTTAACACGGTCGAACACTTTCTGGCTTCAGTCAAATCGTATATTTCGAAAAAGTAATAACGAATGGCACGGAATAAAAATAATCTATTTGTCAGTGCAAAATAGGGAAAAATTTCGAATACATATTACTGTTTATTAAGAGGCTTAATTTATACCTTCAAAAAGCTTGTCATTTTTATGTTCTTTTAAATAAACAGGTTTTTGCTTCCCTCCCGTAAAAATTTGGCTACCGGTACGTATAACCTTGTCGAAATATCCCAGGGATTAAAACCAGTATCATATCGGTGAGTCCAATTTTCGTTGCTGTAGATATGGAAAAATACATCTCACACCATTGCTGCGCTTCCATTGTCACAAATAAACATAGAGATCATATTTGCGTATCTACACGAGAAAATGCTGCATATACCGAAATTCGTTTAGCAAATGGAAATTTTGCTTTTTCGTCAGTAAACCACACGGGTACAAAGTTTCACGAAATTTTGTTGATTGTATTGTATCTTGGAGAAAAAAAACTAAATATACAATAGATAAAATGCAGATAAGAAAAACGTCACAGCGGAACATTGCACAAATGTTATAAGCTTTACTCCCTGTGTTGTAGCTTTATTTCTTATTTATTAGTATTTTATAAACGTCACTGTGTGCAATATTGCAATTTCAATTTTAAATGGAACTTTATGTTTTTTTTATGATGCACTGACAAACGCAACTTTTAATTGTCTATAAAAAATAATTTAAAAAAAACTATTTCTACAAAAATTATCAATATTAAAATATTTAAAATCTTATTATGATGCGCAAAAGAGAGATTGTACAGGATGGATCACAGTAATTTAATATTTCCTGTTCTGTTGAAAAGATGGAAAAAATTACGGAATAAAAGAATAAAAAAAATTTTAATAATTCAACAAGTGCTATCTTTTTATATATATATGCTTTCAGAGAAAGTTTTTTTCGTTATTGCAATTGTATACCGTGTAATAGCTTTTCTTAGAAACATTATTAATTTATTTAATCTGTACATTAAAATATTGAAATAAGATAATCGAAAATATTTTTGAAGATATTTAATATTTCACATCAAAATATATGTCAGAGCCAAAATATAAAATATTTCATAAATCATTTACTTTCTGACTACCTTATTTCTATATCTTTTTATGCAAAATAAAATAGAATAGAGAGATTCAACTACATCATTCCGGTGTACATACAGTTAACAAAAATCGAGTATGATTTGAAGTATTTAAAGTACACTTTCATATTGAGATTCTACTTGAAGTACTATCGCTCTGAATCTGCCGTTACTTCCTGCCTATTATGTATACTGGCGGAGTTTTTCTTTTGAGAAAGCTACGCCGCGAGCTTTGGATATTCTGGCGGCGCATAAACGTCAGATTGCGCCTAAAGGCAATCGGATGAATCGTATAACCGCTAGATAATTTCTTTTCATACAAGATTAAAAAATGCATTTACCAGTACATAAGGAAGTATAACACGTGCGTGTTTTACGGTAAACGAGGTACTACGGTTATTCCGGCGGAATTCGCCAATAACGGAGTTGCAGTACTTACCTATCTTCCCTTGCACCGCGCAGAGCCATGAGAGCAGTATCAGGTAGTCGCGTATCATCTTTCCGGAATCGCACCTGTAATTACAGACTGCGTTTGAGCGCCACAGAAACCGAATGTCGACGATCGGTATCGGTGATAACGGCACGGCAGGACGGCTTTGTTTGCGCGATTGCGCGCCACGAGTCCACTTTGCTCGCTCGTGAGATTGCAGCCAAGAACTCCGACCATGAGATAAAATATTTCCGACAGACTGGATATTCTTAGAGTCATAAAAGATGATAAATATATATATATATATATATGTGTGTGTGTGTGTTCTCTCGGCATGATATTAAGGCGGAATAACGTTTTGCGCAGTTTAAAACGTGATATGCAAATAGGTCGGCCATTAATGTCGGATAGTAAGGCCACGGATAATTTTGCACGCCCCCCCTCATCCGTGAACGCACCGAATTTGAATCTGATCCGGATTTTTCTCCAACTTCTATTTCCAAGACATATATAGGGGTGGGGAAAAATCAATTCCACGTCCCGCGAAAATTCGCAATCACGGCAATGCCATTCGGAGCTTTATTTACTCTAGCGCTCAATAATTTCAATCGTGTGCGGTACACTTTTAGATTCGACCAATAGAAAAAGATTTGTTGATCTATATATTTGACGTCGCAAAGAGCGTTGCGGGCCAATATCAACAAATTTGTTGGCTTTTGACGTTTTGCGCAAAAAAACAGGCTACTCCCGCATGCTTCTCTTGTTACAAATCAAACTATCAAGCTGTTATATACCACGCACAGTGCTCGGGACTCTCGTAAAATTGACAGAATCGGGCTCGAAATCAAATTCCGTTTACGTCGGATGTATGAAATTCATTATTGTAGGAAAAATATATGACGAGCCGCTGCGTATAATTAATGCAGTGCGCGTCGTGTTCGTTCTCAGCGAAACGTAAATATTCAAGATAAATGACACTGCGGCAAGTGATAAACAAGCGCTAATTTTGGATTTAATTCGACGACAATTGCCTCGCGAACAGTAACGCGATACGTTACTCAAGCATCTTGCATGAATATTTCCCATATGGCTGAACACTCATTACGAGCATTACCGTTTCTATTACTCGCAACAATGTAATATCTCTGACATCAGAACTACGTGAATTAATTGATATGATTATACGCGGAAAGAACGGTTTTACTCAAGTTTTATCTCAAAATTTATTAAAATAATTTTAGAAATTTCAAGCACATGATCTGAAAATGCAAATTTTGACGTTCTAGCAATATCTATAATTCTAGCAGTTTGAACGTTCTACATAATTATTTTTTGATGCTCTAACAAAATTATTTTTAAACTTGTAGTTAAAAGATTTGAAATTACTTTAGTAAAATCATTCCTCCGTGCACGTGCAGCTCCTTTTCGTAAATTGCATTAATACTTTCATCTCTTTCCGTGCAGTTCCTTTTCGCAAATTGCATTAATACTCTCATCTCTTTCGCCATAACATTATTATTTTCATATATATATACATATATATATATATATTTCATCAGAGACTTTATTTCGCGCGGCGTAAAATGTTTTATTTACAAATTCGCAATCGCCAATTTTTCGTAACATTTTTAACGCCAGATTTTTTTCTATACCGACTTTTCCATCCCATCATTTCATAGAATTGCTGTAGATATTTTGGCTGCGCCCATTCACGCTTACCTTGCTTAACGTATTGCTCCGAGCCTGGGAGCGCTGAAAAGCGGATGAGTGGAGGGCGGGCACATTTGGCCCGGCGGCCACCGTGAATTTCAATTTGCGACTAGCGCACGACAGGAACGACAAGCAGAATTACGAGGACGAAGCGAACCATTACGGGCAATCGGTCTATCATGGACGGCTCTTTGTACAGCCGTGGGCGGAAGTTTACGATGGGACACGCGATTTTCTTGTTCGTTTCGGACCGCGTGTGCGCACGGGCGCTAACGACTTAATGCAAAATAATGGTCGGCGCGGCGCGGCGGTCCCGTCTGCCATATAAGCGACACTGACTACTGCGTCGTGGCATGAATAATTTGCAGGGACACGGAGTGTCAAAACGTCGATACGATATCGCGGCATTAGGAGGAACGTAATTGCGCAGAAGTAATTGCGCTGATGATTCTAGTTGTTACCCGAGGGATCGATTGTGTTCCCCCGACGGAATTGATTAACTCGCTCGGGTGGATCGTCTCTTTGCGACAATTCTTGCAAATGACGATAAAATTAAGCGCCCAGATGTCTATGACATGGTCTATTCTCCATCTCTAATTAGAATAGATTAAATAGAAGTGGTTTCTGATACTGTCTCAACGTTTTACAACTCGAAAAGTTTTACCGAAAAAGCTTCAAATTAAAATGAGCAGTGATTATTTTAATAAAACTTCATAATTTATTTTACACAACTAAAGTAGCTGTAACAATTTCACCTATTCATGCATGCATTAATAATTTTGCTTTCGCGAATAACAATAGTATTTCTTAATTTTAAAATCGAGAACATGTGTCGTCTCAATAGAAGCAGAGTCAATTTTATGAGTGTTTTCAGCAGAGTAAAAAGAAATAAGATGTAAAGGGCATATATAAAGTCGTAAAGATGTAAAAGATTTGTCATTCTTAAATATAATTGAGAATAATACGCATCTATTTTTTAATGCTTGTTTTCACCAACGTAAATGAACTTTAATCTCGATTCAATTTATTCTCCGTCTTTTTTTTCTAGTTCGAAAAAAGTAGAAAAAGATAAAGACTAAGTTAATCAGAAATTAAAGTTAATCTACGTTGGTGCAAACGGATATAAATAATTTTCATTAATTGAGACATTCATTTTGGCTGTAATATACTTTTTGTATCACGTGCACCATATTTGAAAACTCATTCAGCATCAAGCTCGTAAACGAGAAATCATTTTTCTCGATATGTGTAGCTGGCGCGGCTCACTAAACTAAACACGAAACTTTAAAAACTGCACTCGTAAATATTCATGACACGCGCGAGGTGTAATTACTTGTAATCGCATGTCACATCGCACAAATGGCTATGTCGAGCCGCCATAAGAATTCCGCGTAATGTGTTAACGCGATAGCTACTTCCACGAGTGAAAATAACGAGTGCATAAATACTATTATGTCGCGCGCGAGCGCGTGTTTTGGATAAATAGCTCGTCAATGCATATATTATGATCCGTAAAAACGGTTAGAATTTTAATTTTTATTATTGCGAGTCGAGAGACTTCACGAGAAGATTTATTCTTTTCGATATCTCGATAACGAAGTTTCGTTCGAGAAATGCAGGGTAAACTTATATAACTTGACCTAAGCCCGAATATCGAATCCACTTTAAACGATCTATTATCCGTTTTAGATTTTAGAATCAGATTTTATTTCTAATTTTATACTTGCCACATATTTGGATTCATATGTGTTTAATATATATACAAGTACTTGTATTTCACATATGTGTGCATTTTCCAATATTTCTCGAATATCTCGTGCCATGACAATACGTACGACGGTGCGCTACAGATAATTTAATTCACTCACAAAGACTTCCCTCAAGATTCGATAATTTCTGTAATGCATTATTCATACTTAAGAACAGCATGGGTCGCTCTTGACAATTTCAAAAAATTGTACATATCTCTGTACACATGATCAAGAAGTTGCGAAAATAAATTTCAAAGTTTACAGGAAAAGTATTTCCTGTGTAAATTCTTGTGTAAATTGTTTTCAACGAAATCCAAACATAGAGAGAGAGAGAGAGAGAGAGAGAGAGAGAAAGTGTATATATTACAACACTTTCTAGAGGAACTATATTCGCACCGTTTGTCCTGTATTTTCTTACTCTGGCAACGTAGGCACACTAAATCGCAGACTTCGCGCTCCGATAAACTCAGATTATATCTGATTATAGTAGCGCGTTGTCAGGTAGATAACATCACTGGCATCATCGAATAGGGTGGCTGAGGATGTTGTCTGACCATAAACCCCCTACCGCGCCATTACTCGACGTGTCTCGTCTATATTAGAGCGATGTATTCCGTCCTTCGGATCCGTGGATCCTCTATGTTGGAAAACGCTCGGTTGACCTCGATACCGCGTCATCCGAGTGACCTCCTGATACACGGATGGTGGAGTAATTATCGGCGCTCTTAGGTCGGTGACTAACGAACTGTCTATAGTGCAGGCGTTACGGAAATCCGTTTTCTCGATCGAATCGCCTTTATCGAACATTTCTCCACTTTGCCATATATGTAATCTTTCTATCGCAACCATCGGCAATCAGTAGGGAATCAGCAGGGGATCGCGATAAAGTGGAAGCACGTAGTTGCCATTCCTTTGCGATATCCGCCGAGGCCAGTGGCGCATTTTCGATTAGGCCCTCCTAGATCCAAGCTTGAAATTGTATCCAGAGATAGTGGCGTAAGATGAGAAGACGTTTTCCTTTTTACTGAAATTTTTTTCAGAGCTACACAATTTTATTTAATCCTACAATCGCTACGTGGAGGACGACTCGTGGACATTCGTCAAGAATTAGGATCGTTTACGGTAAAAGCAAATGAAACTTTTAGTAAATTATCGATTAAAGCTTTCCGTTAATTTATAGCGTCATTTATCACGTGGAAAGGTAAAGCCGACGCGAAATTCGTGCTAACGCTACCCATTATTGTGTACAAAGAAATATTAGGATAGAATGTCTGTTCGAAAGGAGATATACGCGAATACAATAAGTGTATTGATTGGTTTTTCGAAGCTGTGCCTCGATCGGATTATATTCTACAGAAGGAAGCCAACCAGCAATTTTTCGATTGTTGATTGGTTCCCTTCTGTAGAATTCAAGATCCAATTTTATCATGTTTCAAAATAAATCGCACACAGCCGCTTTTGGATTTTGTTTTTTATTTTGTCCGAGCATTCGCACTACGCCAATACGCCTGTTTCTTTTTAGCAACACCTTCCACAATTGTTTGCTTTTAGCTTGCTCTATACGTGATCATTGCTTCCAGTTGCTACAGCAAACATAAGAAAGCACGTCTTTTCTACGTTTTTCTCTGTGTTAGTTTTCAAGTCAAACCTAATATCATTCTGCGCCAGCGGAAGCTGTAACGCTCCGCGACGTAGATTTTCTCGAAACATTATTTATAAATATTTACCAAATAGCAAGAATCCAACTTCCAACGACAAGCGAACTTGTAATCAGGATACCAAATAGCATCATCGTGTTGCATACGAAATGGCACGTCTCAATATTTACTGTCTTACCGAAGAGCATTGCATGCGGAATGGCATATCCCAATATTTGCCGTCTCGAAAGAGTTTCTTACGAAATTTGTTAGCCGTCCGTGTGCTCGGAACCAAATTACAGCGAAACTTATTGTTGGTAACGACCTCTGAATTGAAAAAGGCTAAATTGCACCGATTTATATCACAGCCGGGGCACAATCCCTTTTTAAACACAAAATGACACACGCGTAATCACGCAACTACAATATAACGCGCTCAAATTGCTTGAAAATTGAAAATTGATTTATTATTAACATATAATTATTGTTTCTGTATAATGCATGTTTTATTACATTTGTATTTGTATCTGTACGTATTATTACACATTGTTTTATTGCAAAAGGGAAATTACCCTTCGACGCAGCATTCTTGTCCTCGCAGTGATGAATTTGTGCATTAACCGATATCGTTTTTCCGCCTCCTCCACGATGTTACCTCGCTCGATTTCGCCCGAGGCGCGATTCACATTGCGCGTTAATCGTACTGGGTACACGATTGCGACGTAAATCGCGCCCATTCGCCTCGTTAATGCAAATCAAAATTGTCCCGGAAATGTCATTACAGAACGCGGCTCGCGGCACGTTATCGCACGGCGTAATACGTTTTTCATCGCGTCGACGTTAACACACGCGTATTCGCGCGCAGATTGCGCACGTTGGCCGCCGTTTAAGAGCCACCCACGGAAATATCCGCGACCGGTTATAAATTACGACGCGCTTATCACGCCGTCGTCCGTTTACAACATCCCCGTCGTGCTTTCGCGCGAGCCCGCGCGATGCGACGAGGAGTGTATCACCCTCTGTCCCGGGGGTGTACATATATCTTTACTGGCAATTTAAAGACACGGAAAAAAATATTTCATTGGGGGAAGAAAGAACTTTATAAAAAAAAAAGCAAAAAAATTCGAAAAAAAAAAACGAAGCTTCTCTTTAAATCTGAACCAGCGGACGATCATTGACATCCTG